CTTGAGCTCAACGTCTTGGGTAATTGCGCAATGATTTTCCCGTACGCGAAATGAGGTATGAATCAGCTTTAACAGCACAGAGGTCACGTGACCAGCATGATGCTACACTGTCCACTGAACAATGCAGTGTGCCAGTACACAAACCAGTCTACAGTGTGGAGATATTGAACTACACAAGTACTCGAGTACCGTACTCAGTTTATACAGTCATAATATACAGTCATGAATTGGAGAACAGCATCCAGTTTTACTATCACTAGTATCAGCTATATGTGGCAAGAGAAGTAGTCAAACACATCACTGGTAATAACATATCACCTGAGTTATGGGAAACAGTAGGAAGAAAACGGGTGCAGAATGGAGTGGAAAATAATAATTTTTTGTAGACCATTGCATGGACAGCAGCAAAAACGAGGCCAGTGGTTATAATAGTGCAACATGGATACGCAGACGAGTATTTGTGTATGAATGTGATCAGGAACAAACACACTCATCAAGTACCGGTAAACCATGGTCTTTTCATTTCTCTAGTGAAATTGAAGTAGTCACCAGCAGTTATTACCGCAAGAAAATATCATGAAAACTTGCCTAGCCTAGCTGTGTGTAACATTTAAAATACACAATGATATGTGTGGTTGGGGAAGGATATAGGGGGAGGGGTGATAAGGGGGAGGGGGTGATAAGGGAGGGGGAGGTGGAGGGATGATAAGGGGGAGGGGTGATAAGGGGGAGGGGGTGACAGGGGGAGGGGTGATAAGGGGGAGGGGTGATAAGGGAGGGGGAGGTGGAGGGATGATAAGGGGGAGGGGTGATAAGGGGGAGGGGTGACAGGGGGAGGGGTGATAAGGGGGAGGGGTGATAAGGGGGAGGGGTGATAAGGGGAGGGGTGATAAGGGGGAGGGGTGATAAGGGGGAGGGGTGATAAGGGGGAGGGGTGATAAGGGGAGGGGTGATAAGGAGGAGGGGAGGGGGAGGGGGAGAGATGATAAGGGGGAGGGGTGATAAGGGAGGGGGGACAACGTTACTTCTCCAACAAGGAAGGTAGCAGTTTTAAGATCAAAATAAAAGAATTGAGAAGAGAACAATTTTGATGAAATGGATATGTTCCATCTTCATTCACCTTGTGTACTGTCTGAACAGATGGACATGTACAATGTACATCTTGACAATCCTCTGCATTCTGCATTCAACACAATCATACAGAAGACAACAAAACAATGACATCATCGTATTACATCATCATCGACCAGCTGATGTGATACTTGAAATCATGATTACATAGCAGGAACTACCAGCATCAGTTTGTATGATTGTTTTTAAAAGATGACATCATTGGCAGGTTACAAAGAACAAACATTAATTTCTGCATTTCCTGCATCTCAGCAAGAAGGCCATACCGATGTATACATGATGATTAGACTGTGCATGGATGGATAGCAGTACTTGAAAGATATCACCGGTCTCAGCACCGGTCTCAGCTAGTACACTTCCTGTTCTCTGGTACCCGACAGTAGAGGGGTTGCGCACGACGAAAATTCGTAAGACCATGCCCGTCCGGGTTCGAGAAACGAAAGTTGCCGCGAAAATTCGGCCAAACGCGACCGAAAGAGACCAGATCTACGAAACTATTTTTCGTCATATGGAGTAAGTAAAAAAGTAAATTATCGTGTCCGTTCCCGAATGGAACTCATGACGGCCGCTAACATCCAGTAAACCCTAGCGGCAGATGCAGCGCTGCAGCCCACAGTCAGCTGGGAACTTGTGGCCAGGCACATGGGATACATTGATGCAGCTAATGGCGTTTCTCGTCACTTGTACCAGTGGTTGTGAGACTTATCCACTCACCCCCACCGTCCTATGCAGTACATTGTACATACTACTCCCTGTCTTCACTCTCTTCGTACCCGCAGCGCTAGCATCGAACCAATACGAAAAAGTCTGTACGTTGTGCGCAACCTCAAGGCTAACAAATACCGTACTCCTTTAATTGTTTCCTTAAAAAATTTCGTTACCGGGGAGGGGGGGGGGGGGGTACTTGGACCCGTTTGAAAACAGAACACGGGATCACTTGTAAACCGGTTGGGAGTATTGTACATGACATGTGGAGTACTGCAGGCACATGCAGTTACGTGGGCAGAGTGTCCAGTGTACATTGTCTATACATATACAGCTGGGAGTAGTATAGTGTTGCTAATGTGTGTACAGTGTTGCTAATGTGTGTACAGTGTTGCTAATGTGTGTACAGTGTTGCTAATGTGTGTACAGTGTTGCTAATGTGTGTACAGTGTTGCTAATGTGTGTACAGTGTTGCTAATGTGTGTACAGTGTTGCTAATGTGTGTACAGTGTTGCTAATGTGTGTACAGTGTTGCTAATGTGTGTACAGTGTTGCTAATGTGTGTACAGTGTTGCTAATGTGTGTACAGTGTTGCTAATGTGTGTACAGTGTTGCTAATGTGTGTACAGTGTTGCTAATGTGTGTACAGTGTTGCTAATGTGTGTACAGTGTTGCTAATGTGTGTACAGTGTTGCTAATGTGTGTACAGTGTTGCTAATGTGTGTACAGTGTTGCTAATGTGTGTACAGTGTTGCTAATGTGTGTACAGTGTTGCTAATGTGTGTACAGTGTTGCTAATGTGTGTACAGTGCTGCTAATGTGTGTACAGTGTTGCTAATGTGTGTACAGTGTTGCTAATGTGTGTACAGTGTTGCTAATGTGTGTACAGTGTTGCTAATGTGTGTACAGTGTTGCTAATGTGTGTACAGTGTTGCTAATGTGTGTACAGTGTTGCTAATGTGTGTACAGTGTTGCTAATGTGTGTACAGTGTTGCTAATGTGTGTACAGTGTTGCTAATGTGTGTACAGTGTTGCTAATGTGTGTACAGTGTTGCTAATGTGTGTACAGTGTTGCTAATGTGTGTACAGTGTTGCTAATGTGTGTACAGTGTTGCTAATGTGTGTACAGTGTTGCTAATGTGTGTACAGTGTTGCTAATGTGTGTACAGTGTTGCTAATGTGTGTACAGTGTTGCTAATGTGTGTACAGTGTTGCTAATGTGTGTACAGTGTTGCTAATGTGTGTACAGTGTTGCTAATGTGTGTACAGTGTTGCTAATGTGTGTACAGTGTTGCTAATGTGTGTACAGTGTTGCTAATGTGTGTACAGTGTTGCTAATGTGTGTACAGTGTTGCTAATGTGTGTACAGTGTTGCTAATGTGTGTACAGTGTTGCTAATGTGTGTACAGTGTTGCTAATGTGTGTACAGTGTTGCTAATGTGTGTACAGTGTTGCTAATGTGTGTACAGTGTTGCTAATGTGTGTACAGTGTTGCTAATGTGTGTACAGTGTTGCTAATGTGTGTACAGTGTTGCTAATGTGTGTACAGTGTTGCTAATGTGTGTACAGTGTTGCTAATGTGTGTACAGTGTTGCTAATGTGTGTACAGTGTTGCTAATGTGTGTACAGTGTTGCTAATGTGTGTACAGTGTTGCTAATGTGTGTATGGTGCTGGTAGTGGTTGACAAGAGCAGTTCTGTATAGACATACACACATCAGCAGAAAACCTTACCTTCTAGTAATGAACAGTAGCCAGTAATGTTCAGGTCTCCTACACCAGCAACCTCATCATCCACAACACAGGTAACCATAACAACAGCACCTGAAGAAACATGAGCCATGGCAGGCCCAGCAACAGCCGCAGAAACAGCAGCAACAACAACAAAGGCAGCGATAACAGCCGCAGAAACAGCAGCTGCAGCAACAACAACAGGAGAAAGAAGTCACCGAGTTAGCAACAGCATCAACAGCAATAACAGCCACAGCAACATCAGGTGCAACAGCAACAGCATTGTGCAGGCGGATAAGCAGAGTTGCAGTTGAAGGCACACACACACACACACACACACACACACACACACACACACACACACACACACACACACACACACACACACACCACACACACACACACACATAGTTGTACACACATTGCTGTATGAAGGAGTGGTCTAAACATTCACAGTTCAACACTCCAGGTCATGATGCATGGACAACACACGGAGTAAAGCATATGAGAGAGTGAGATGAGTAGAAAGGGAAATTTGGAAATAAAGTCATTCCAATGTGCACCATACTGACTACAAAGTCTACAATACAATTACACTGGATCTTTGACTCCTGCCGGGGATGGGGGAGAGAGGGGAGTGGGGGATGGGGGAGGGAGGGGAGTGGGGGAGGGGGGGGGGGGCGCTAAGAGATGTGTGAGGAAATAAAATTACAAACAAACTGTACCTTTCCAATATGAACCATACAGTCTTCTGTTCAGTCACCCAAACAAATCATTTCCACAACTAGAAGATGTCCTGCAAGACCATGGCAGAAGCACCTACAGCAGTAACAGCAAACACAGCAATGTGTCGAGAAATCACCTCTGAACCACTCACAACAGCAAACATAGCAATGTGTCGAGAAATCACCTCTGAACCACCAATAACAGCAAATCTAGTAGCACCAACAGCAGCAACAATAGCTGCAACAATAGCTTATTGGCAATGGTACCATCGTGAAAATATAGAATTCAAATAGCTGCAACAACAGCAAGACTAATAACGCCAACAGCAAAAGCAGCAGCAACAGCGACAACAGCACCAGAAACAGCAACAACAACAGCAAGAGAAAGAGCAGCAGCAGCAACAGCAGCAACAAGAGCAGCAACAACAGTAGCAGCAGCAGCAACAGCAGCAACAACAGCAACAACAGCAAAAGCAGCAGCAGCAGCAAAAACAGCAGCCACAACAGCAGCAGCAACAACAAGAGCAGCAACAGCAGCAACACAAACAGCAGAAACAGCAGGAATAACGACAACAACAACGGCAGCAGCAGGAGCGGAAACAACAGCAGTAGTAGCAACAGAAGAAGCAGCAGCCACAGCAACCGTAGCAACAGCAGACACAGCGACCACAGCAGCAACGGTAGGAACAGCAATAGCAGACACAGCAGCAATACGAACAGCAGCAATAGTAGCAACAGCAGCAACAACAGCAGTAGCAGCAGAAACAGCAGTGACTGTAGCAACAGCAATAGCAGACACAAGAGCAGTACCAACAGCAGCAATAGCAGCAGCAGCAACAACAGCAGGAATAGCAGCAGCAACAACAGCAGCAATAGCAGCAGCAATAGCAGCAGCAATAGCAGCAGCAGCAACAGCAGCAGCAATAGCAGCAGCAGCAACAGCAGCAGCAACAGCAGCAGCAACAGAAGCAGCAACAGCAGGAGCAACAGCAGCAGCAGCAGCAGCAGTAGGAGCAACAGCAGAAGCAACAGCAGGAGCAAAAGCAGCAGCAGCAGCAGCAGCAGCAGCAGGACCAGAAACAGCAGCAATATCAACAGCAACGACAACAGTAGCAACAGGTGAAGATAAAACAATGTGCAGTCCTTTCCCCAGTCCTTTTCCCAATTCCACCTGTTTTGATTATAAGTTTGAACACATCTAAATAGGGAAAGAAAAGAGGGGCAAGATATTGTAGTTAACAATAAGATTATATTTTTCTACAATCTGTACCTTTCTGCATTGCAGCAATATCATCCAGGTTTGTGTACGTCATCAGAAACGTCACTGATCTGCATACATCTGATTCCTGTTGCCCAGGACCAGAGATGAAGCAGAGGAATAGTACAGCTACTGACAACACCATGAGTCATGATCTCTATCACAGCAGCATCACACTCTCAGCAACTGTACTAGCAACTGCAACTGCAACAGAGGGATAAACAGGCAAGCAGCGGAAACAACAACAGCAACAGCAGCAATAGCCTCCGCAGCAGAAGCAGCATGACCAGCACAGCCAACACCAGCAATAGCAGCAATAACAGTGTCAAGACGAGCAGCAGCAGCAGCAGCAGCAACAGAGACAGACACAACAGTTTGAACAAGCAGAGCCACCATTCCTTGCTGTCACGAGAAGTAGAGTTTGGAGAGAATGACAGGAAAGAGAAGGAATGAAGGCGTACCTAAAGTGCAAACAAAATGTCTCTTCCAACCCTGTGTATAGCTGGACATGCAAATATACACAGAGGCTTACGTACACTGCAGACAAGAGTGGTGATCTAGATATGCAGTGGTTAAAACTTAGATAACTCACTTTGAAATGTATAGACAACACAGGTAGGAGTATGAGAGTTGTTTGTAACGAGGAGAAGTTGAAGTAAAACAATTATTCCATGCACAATTCTCCCATTATACAATGCTAGTCCATGTGAATATGGGTGCTGTGTGATGGGGGGGGGGGTGTGCTAACAGTGCAGGGGTGATAGTTAATTTAAAAAACTGTACCTTTCATTTCTGAACCATCCCGACATCCGTCCATCAGCCAACAGATCACTTTGCATATGGAGACCATGGCAGAACAACCCGCTGCAATAAGAGCAACCACGCCGCCACTGCGGAAAGTACCCCTGAAACAGCAACAGCAGCAGCAGCAACAACACCAGCATTAGCGAACGCAGCAGCACAGCAACAGCAGCAGAAATAGCAGCAGAAGCTACAGTAGAGGTCTTGCCAGCACAGAAAGAGTAAAGTTCATGCCGGCACAGCAACAGTACAGGTCTTGCCAGTACAGAAACAGTAGAGGTCTTGCCAGCACAGCAACAGTACAGGTCTTGCCAGCACAGCAACAGTACAGGTCTTGCCAGCACAGCAGCCACAATATTTCCAGCACATCAATAGCTGCAGTAGCCACCAGTAAAGAAACACTTGCACTATAGCAGTATCACCAGCAGTAAACGTCACATTCAGAAATGACAGTACATGGCCAGCCGTCTTCAAGTTCTCACCAAAACTACCACAGTGTGGTCATGTGACTGGGGATTATTTTCAAACCAGATCCGTGCTATACTAGTTTAAACCCACCCATATATGGAAACAGGAGACGGGCAAGGGAAAGTAGCTGACAAAAAGAAATCCTTAGACACAACCTGTACCTTACTAAGATGCAGCTCTGCCATCCAGATTTCTGCACATCATCTGAGTACTCGCTGACACACACGTAACGGATCACTGTTCAGTACAGCTGACCATGGAGGGAGCAGCAGTAAAAGTAGAGACACTGGCAACGCTATCCGAAATATACCCTATGACAGCACGTGAAAACACACACACACACACACACACACACACACACGCACATACAGAAAAAGAAGTGATTGCCTGAAGCAACATCAACAGCAGCCACAGAAACAGCAGAAACAGCAGCAGTAGCAGTAGAGTTAGGAGACAGAGATAGCAGCAGCAACAGCTACAGGAGCAGCAGCAACAGCAGCAGCAGCCACAACAGCGAGAGCAACAGCAGCGAGAAGCAACAGCAGCAAAGCAACAGCAGCAGCAAAAACAGCGACAGCAACAGCAGCAGCAACTAAAGCAGCAAGAGTAACACACAAACACATACACACCTGTCCTGTCCTGTTCTATCGAGCCACTGCCACAAGGGTCACGTGGGCCTGGAGTAGCAACGGAGAGAGAAGAGGAGAACGTCGTCCAACGGTGTCCAGGACACAACGAGAGGTCGCCAGGATTCAGGTCACCTAGGACTGTTACCCCAAGACTGACGTATGGCCGGGGGAGAACCTGAGCAGCGGTGTCTATTCCTGCCCTGGACCGAACGGAAGCAGCGGCCGCAGGACGCACAGTGCGCGCCACAACAAGCCTGCACTGCGGCTGGGGACTGAGCCACACACTTGTGACGGGCAAGGCCAACACACACACACACAAACACACACACGAGCAGGAACAGTAGCACAGAAAGCACAGCACAGAAAGACAATGGAGTCAGGAGAAATAGCACCACCAGTAGCAATGTCAATGGTTTAATAATACTTCAGAGATTGCCCAATCGTATACATTTTATAAGAAGCTGTATAAGTATAGTTGATGATACTCTTTGACATACCTTGTAGTAGTCACATCCATCTGCTACACAGCTACAGAAATAACAGGACGACCGCTCTGCTGTTGATACGATAACACAAACATATCTGTAGCAGTGCAACGGGAAAATTCAGAAAGAAAAACACAAAACAAAAAGCAGCAACATGCAGTTGCATAAATAGAAGCACCAGCAGCAGTAACAACAGTACAAGCAGCACCACCAGCAGCAACAGTAGCAGCAAGAGTAGCAGCAACAGTAGCAGCAACAGTAGCAGCAATATCAGCAGCAGTAGCAACAGTTACGGGACCATCACCATCACTAGTAGGAAAAATGACCGGGTCGAGCACTCGTCTGCAGTACAGTACGGCATCATGGAGTCATACGAGGATACAATCGATCACTTCCCTGACAAAAAGTCAGGGAGGGGCGCATGGAAGAGAGGGGGCGCTCTGGTGGGATTTTACGGTATATACCGGTATGGTGTGTGTTGTGAAATCCTAGCCGGTACAAATTTCATAACCCTACAGTGCTATAATCACATAACACATTTCTGAGTTGTTAGTATGGTAAAATTAGAATTCTGTAAACACACCGATATTCGCGTCATTAAATTTTCGCCATTTCTTAGAACCAGGGAGATTACAATGGATAATGTTCGCAAATCAATGTGGCCACTTTCATAAACTCACTGTTAAATTTTGACTTCGCTCTGGTCAATCAATACGAGTCATGTTACTCTCTTGTCATGAAAATAGCAAACAATAATGTGTGGTGAATATTGTACAGTTACCAGTAGTAACAAATAGCAGATTATTAACAATAGAAAGTCTACCTACTCACTTCACTACAGTCTTCTGGCAGAAATACTTGCATTAGAGCGTTCGGCACACAACTACCACCATCTTTGCCCTCCAATCCTGTGATTTCCCCCGGCAGACGAATGCTATTGAATGCCACCGAGAAATCACCTCCTCTGAATCACCAACAGCAGCTACAATAGCTGCAACGAGAATAATAGCAGCAACAACAGCAGCAACAATTGCTTTTTGACGATGGTACCATCGTGAGAATAAAGAATTCAAATAGCTGCAGCAACAGCAAAGACTAATAGCACCAACAGTAGAAACAACAGCAGCAGCAGCAAAGAAAATAACCGCAGCAGTAGCAGTAGCTCCAACGACGGCCGCAAGACTAATAGCACCAACAGCAGGAACAACAGCAACAGCAAAAGCAGCAGCAACAGCGACAACAGCAACTGCAACAGCAACAGCAGCAGCAACAACACACTGTCTTTGATCAACTCTACGCTCATGCGAACTCAGCCATCAGTTCAAAACAGTCTGGTTTCTGTAGAGGTGATTCCACTGTCCTTCAACTTAGTCGGATCATGCAGGACATTTATTCTTATCGGGACAGAGGACAATATGTAGGGTTATGCTTCTTTCACTTAGCGAAAGCTTTTGACACCGTGTGGCACAGAGGCCTGATATCTAAGCTCACTGATTCATTTCGTATTGATGGTTTGGCTCTGGAGTGGCTGGCGAATTATCTAACGGACAGGCATCAGATAGTGTCCGTCCTTAATACGCACTCTAAACCCCTTCCTGTTCTTTCTGGCGTTCCGCAGGGCTCCATACTGGGTCCTCTTTTATTTCTACTCTACATCAATGATTTGCCGAGTGTTGTTCCTGATACTTCGTTGTATGCTGATGACACTGCGCTAATCAAATTCTGCGAGTCTCTCCCACAACTCCAAGCCTCCCTCCAACTGGACATTGACGAGGTTGTGGCCTGGATGTGTCGCTGGCACCTGTCGCCAAACCACAGCAAGACAGAGGCAATGATTATTGGATGCGCTTCTCCAGACCCAGTCACCCTGCGTTTCCCAGGATCGTCCAACAGCATCGAACTGGTAAAAACCCACAAACACCTGGGCGTATGTATTGACTCTGCACTTTCCTGGTCAGAGCAAGTTAATGTTTGTCGTCGCACTAGCTCCGCCCTTGGAGCACTCACTTCCCACTGCTCCCACCTCCCTCATAGTTGTAAAATACTTTTCTACCGTTGCTATATTTTGC